TCAGAGGCAGAGGTTTACATAAATATTCACCTTTCCCCAACCCTAACAACGTAATGGATTCAAACCTGGATACTTACTATCAACAACATATTTCTTTTTCATTCTTTGTTGCTGTTGTTATTTTAGACATGGGATCTCACTATGTTGCCCAGGCTGGTCTTGAACTCCTGAACTCAAGCAACCCTCCTGCCTCAGCCTCTCAAAGTGCTGGGATTACAGGCATGAGCCACCGTGCCTGCCCCCAACAACATGTTTCTGACTTAATACCAAAACGTGAAGAAAAGTTATTTCTTGGACCAAGAATGCAAACATGGTATAGAATGAAGATATTTCCCCACTATGTCTGCCATGCTTGGCATGATGCCACGTACTCAGATGGCATTAACTAAGTGTTCACTGAGTGAATGAATGAATGATGAATGAATGAATCAGAATACAAAAGGCATGTGCACAGCTCATCATTCAATATTCTGAAGTAAAAAAAAATTCTGTATTCAAGATGTATAGAAACTTTGCACTGACATTAAGTTGCTTAGAAGTCACACACTGCATTCAGAGGTGCGATTCCCCATTTTAATTTCCTTAATGACAACTCTTATAGGGACTATTAAAAAAAGAATAATGAAAATGTTGAGGCACATGAAAAAAGGGTGACAGGTACAACATAACTCTTTTGGAGTATTTTTTAAAAACAACAAAAAAATCCTCAAAATTGAAACATTCCAGTGTTTAGAACTCTGGCCTTCTAAAGTTTCTTACCACACACCCCATTGGTAACACACTTTTGGGCATGTGCTCAAACATCTGTATATTTATATATTTACAAGCTATATTCCACTGTCAGAAAGTACATGTTTTCTCAAATGATGAGGACTTTCAGTGATTCAGACTATGAATCAACCAGCAAGAATCTCCTAAATATTTATCATTAAATTTGGTGAAATTCTGGCAAATACAGCATTGACTTTAAACATTAAAAGTGAAAAACAAACAAAAAAATCAGAAAAGAAAAAAATCTGAAGCCATTTGTCTTCATGTCTTAGAGAATATTTCCAAATATCTTGCTAACTAGGGTGACTCATCCTGTCAATGGCTAATATTTCAAAGAATAACACACACTTAGGGAAAGGCTGATTATTAATAGCAATTAATAAACAGGACTTCAAATAGTCTTCTTTAAAACTCAGCACAGTTTGAACTTCTCAGTTCCAAAGAGATCCAATCTGTTTTTAGTCTCAAGGTTTATACATACTAGGATAAGTGGCAGCTCCTGACATTTCCTCATTGTTTACTTCTGCTTGCATAATTAATATTGTCTTCAAACTGCAGTTTCTTTGATGTAATCATTTAAGATCACTTATCACTTGGCATTTTGGTGAGGGTTAATTTAGTTAAAACTGGATATAAATCTTTTTTTTTTTTTTTTGAGTCGGAGTTTCGCTCTTCTTGCCCAGGTTGGAAGTGCAATGGCAGGATCTTGGCTCACCGTAACTCCACTTTCTGGGTTCAAGCAATTCTCTTGCCTCAGCCTCCCAAGTAGCTGGGATTACAGGCATGCACCACCACGCCCAGCTAATTTTGTATTTTTAGTAGAGACAGGGTTTCTCCATGTTGGTCAGGCTTGTATCAAACTCCTGACCTCAGGTGATCCGCCTGCCTTGGCCTCCCAAAGTGCTGGGATTTCAGGCATGAGACATCACACCTGGCCTAAAACTAGATATAAATCTTAATGTGGCAGTTGTAAGTTTCCATATCACAATGTCAATGACAACCAATCAGTGAAGAAGCCACTATTAACCTTTTCACACAGGAGACCTGAGGCCAGCTGACATGTTCAGTGACTGGAGGTACAAGTTTCTTTCTAGATCTAAAAAATCAAGTTTCCATATTATTTTATATGTTTAAGTGTAAGATATAAATAAAAGGTATATTTCTTCCTAACCTCCAATAAATTGTCTTGGATACTGTTTGTTCTCTGGAAACCACTGTTCAGAGAATGCATAGCCCTCTCTACAGTATCAAATACATTCAGTAGTTACATTTTTTCAACATACAGAAAATTTGTGGTGAGCATATAACACAGCACCCTGGGAGAATTCTGTGCCTCTCCATGTCCTTCCTCAGGCTTTGTAGCCCCACAGTCTGGTAACCACTAAACAAGCTATGAGAGGGAAACTTATTTGAAAAAACAGAAATTATTCTTATAACCAGGCAACAAAAGCAGAAGCTAGGTAAAGGAGATAAAGTAAGTGGTATAGATATTCCAACTGGTGGATGGGAAATCAAATCCTATTCTATTTGAGTAGCACTTTTCCCCAGCATGTTCTTAATGAACATTCATGTTATGATCATGCCAATCCAATTAGTCACTTTATATATAAAAATGCAAGCTCTTTTTTCAAATAAGAGTAATTATAAAATTTTTTAATCAACTGAAAGGAGTGAAAACGCTGTCAAGATTGGCTTAGAATATGTTGTCAGTTGAGTAGTGAAGATCACTGCTTTGTTTCTTTTTAATCGAGTACTCTCCAGTTTGGAGTTTTATGAGTGTTGTAACATCAACAAATTTATATTTAATTATTTGAGATGCATTTTCCCCAATCTTCTGAGATTCTCTAGCAGAATATTGTTAAAGTAAATAAAATTTAGATCTAAGAATCTAATGTAGTCAAAAGTAAATAGCTTAAAAAAAAATTCCTGTGAACAACAATATGGAAAGACCAACCCAGTTAATTTTTGACATCCAAATTCAGTGGATTTGGGAGAGATTTAGAGCATAAATATTTATGACTGAGTCTAAATACCTGTCTTCCATGGGTAACAGCAGATACATTGCATTAAAAAGGTCAATCGGAATTTTGTTTTTGAGAAATATTACTAGTTTTGGATACACTAAATCTTTCTTACATTCTTAGAGTAACAACATAAGTTTTAGATAGTAGTAGCTAACTACAGGTTTAGAAAAAGTCAATAGCGATCATAAATGTAAACTTTGTGAAACATATTTTTGAGGTAGCATTCATAACTCAAGAACTCAAATTTATACCAACTCTGTTTTTACATGAGTATTAAATCTCTAAGACCAGAAGAACATATAATTATAGTCAACAAACCACACTCTGATTCGAATTTTCAGAGAATGTTTACACTGAAGAATAATTGGAAAGCCATTTTTAATACCACTAGACAATTTCACTGCTTAAAAATTTACAATGTTTCCCCTATGTGCAGGCAGCAGAGTATTTCGGCAACTAACACAGCGAGGCCCATTTACCTTTACCTTAGACTCGTAAAGGCTGAGTTACTTCTGGGTATCATTTAGCCACGCAATAAATGTCTGCCTTGAACAGTCAAAATTTCCCAAAGTAGCAGAACAACTTTGATGGGTGGGGCAAGAGGCTGGGAAGGAAGAGAATTCGTTTTGGCTGGCTCCAGCGCTGGAAGAACATTTAGCACCACACCCTCCGCAAAGGCCTAACACAGCAAAGGCGACTGTCAAATCGATCCCTTTTGGGTCTGCTGTCCCCGTCCTCTAAGGAATCAAAATAAGGCAAAATAATAAAACGTGTACATAGAAGTTTGGCGGCGGCGGGGCTCGGGGGCTTGAGGCATCTCAGAGAGGAGGGCAAAAATCAACAAGAAAATGACCCCGTTTTTAAAATCCTGTCTTCGACCTCGGATGGGAGAAGATTTTGTTTATCCACGAGCAGTTTACTTCTGTCTCCCTGACCCATCTCCACAGGCTCTGGTGCTCGCCGCCACTTTCTGAGCAGATCATTACTCAGCACCGGAGCCGGCGAGTCTCCTGCGTCTGGAGCGGGGTCTCGGGGAGAGGCGGGAAGAGGCGCGACCGCCCGGGCGCGCAGGTGACCGCGGCCCTCCCCGCGCCCCCGTCCCCGCACCCCCTGCACCGCGCATCCGGGAGCTCCCGAGCCCCCGGCCCGACCCGCGCCGGCCCCGGGGCAGCTGAGGCGCTGAAGGGCGGGCTCGGGCACCAGGGTCCCGAGGGTCAGGAGGAGGCCGCGGGGATCCCGCGCTGTCCCCGGGCGACCCCAGCCCGCGCACGCCCACCTCCCAGCCCCTCTGCCCAACTTCACCGCTGCCCCGCCAGCCGGGTCCGCACCGGCCGCCCTCGCCCCGACCCCTAGCCCGCCGCAACCTCTCACGCCCCCGTTACCTTTCCGTTCTTGGGGCTGCCGTTCAGGAACAGGGTCACCCGCCTCATCGCGCTGCCCCCGCTGGGTCCTGAGTGAGCCGCCACCCTCCCACCTAGTCCTCCTCCCACCTTTTTCTCTTCCCGCCCTTCCCCTCCCTCCACCCACTCGGATTCGCCTCCCTTCGCCACCTTCCTGCCCTTGGGGACACACCACACACACGCACTCTGTCCCACACCCAGGGCTCGGCCGGTCCTCCTTCCCACCCCGCCCCTAGGCTCCTCAGCCTGCCTGGGGCCCTTCCCCCACCTCTCCGAGACTGACACTCAGCCGCACCAACCAACTCGCGTTACCGGCCAGGGCCCAGCCAACCAGCAACCAGCATCGGGAGGGCTCTGGCTAACCGAGCCGGGACGGAGGGAGGGAAGAGACACTGAAGGCTAGTAGATGGGAAGGAGCATCAGCCAATCAGAGCGACTCCTGGAGCCGGACGGCGGCTTCCAACGTTACTGAGCAGGCGCACACGCAAGTCTAGGTAGCGCTCATCTGCATGCAGAGGCGGGGTCTACGGTAAGGAGGTGGAGCTCTAAAAGGGACCCACGCACCAGTCAGCCCCTCCTCCCGCGCTAGCCCCGCCCACAAGCTCACCCAGAGAGGAAACGGCTGCAGTAGGGACGGACTGATTGGGTAAGAGCCAGCTCGTCGCCCTGTTAGGATTGGTCAAATGAGTCTTTTCGAAGTTTGCAGCATCCAATCGAAAGCTGGGAGGCGGAGTTAAAGAGCTAAAAGAAGCGTTACTCCGCGAGACACTCCCGATAAGTAGTTCCCACGGTCACAGGTCAGTAGCGGGTGTCTGTGGTCAGAGGGTTGACTGCAGCTCGCGGTGGCTCCTCTCCGAGCCCAGGAAGCCACTCCAGTGCAGAGGGAGACGCCTGGGAGCGCTTGGAGTTTACGCGGACAGGAGGAGGGGGCGGTGGCGGAGTGATCCGTAGATTAAGGCCGGGACCGAGGGGCGGGGTTGGGGATTTGAATCGGGCGGCGGGCAGAGGCGGCGACGGCGCGGGCTGCGAGTCCGGGTGGGCCTCCAGGACCCCGGGCTCCAGGCTCGGAGAGCGGCTCCCGACTGCGGGTGCTTTGCCAGGAAAACTATTCCAAACCGAGGAGCCGGGGTGTGGAAGGAGCGGCCAGCGCGACGCTCGCCTGCCACGGGGCTGTGGGAGTAAGCCTAGCTGCCTGGCGGGCCTCCAGGTGCGGCGTGAGAGGTAGGATTGCAGCCTTGCTCAATCTGTTACTCCGCGGCGTTTCTCGGGAGTTTGTTCGGCTTACCCTGCAGCGCAGTGTTAGTGGTCCTCTCAGGAGCTCCTCTGGGTGACGAGGGGTGCATCCGGACCTGCTGAGCGATAATTTCCGGAAATGTACAGAGCTGCGTCTTGAGCGGAGTACCCTGATGATTCAGGTCTTCCCTACGGTTAAAAAACCGAGGCTGGGGTCTGTTTTGGTGTATCCTGAACAGCAGTTTCCTCCATTTCTTTATATTTAATTTGGCTTTAAAAGTACGCGCTTAGAGTAGAAGGATGGTTACGAGGCTGGGAAGGATAGTGGGGATGGTTAACAGGTACAAAAACAGAATGAATAAGATCTAGTATTTGCTGGCACAACGGGGTGATGGTCTGTAACAATTGTGCATTTAAAAATTAACTGAAAGTATAATTGGGTTGTTTGTAACACAGAGTATAAATGTTTGAGATGATGGCTACCTCATTTACTTTCATGAGATTATTACGCATTGCGTACCTGTATCAAAATATTTCACGTACGCCGTAAATACCCACAGAAACTAGAAAATGACACCTGTGACATGTGTTTCTATGCCAGTATGGACTGTATTACAATTCAGTCTTGAATGAGTTTCGTGATCGAATCACATTCATTTTGCTGGTGGGGTTATTTTTCATTTTTCTTCTTGTTTTTCTTCACCTCTTAGATGGATGCCAATTCAAAAGGCAAGCCCCCTGAAACCGAGGAGTCTGCAGTGAATAGTGCTGGTATGTGATGATCTGCTGCCTCCTTGTGAATTTGAAGATTTAGATAGAGTTGTCCTCACCCCGACAGTATGTTGTCTGTTTCAGGAAACACCTCTTTCATTTTGGGACCTGGGAATATTGTGACTCCTCAGAAGCATGGCGACTTACCTTCTAATCCTTGCACACCAGATACTTTTAAATCGCCTTTGAACTTTTCCACAGTAACTGTAGAGCAATTGGGAATTACACCTGAAAGCTTTGTCAGGAATTCTGCAGGTAAGGGAAATTGTCATTCTATTGTAATACTTTTGAAGTTTATAGCTTTAATATAACTCAGCTTTTTTTTTTTTGGCCTATGTGTACTGCTATATTATTTTAGGTATCTAAATTTCCTACTCTGCAAACTTGCTTCTTCAGGGAGACTTCTGTGCACATGCATGGCTCATTTAGCATAGCAGGGATCACAGAATTGCAAGGCACCCAGCATGATGACAATGTTCCAAAGTCAGTCGTGCTTGATGCCAATACTAGAAAAAAATGTGCGTGTGAGTCACTTTTTGACCTGACACATGGGATACAAGAGGGTGTATGATATGAATAGTAATAATGCATTTTATTTTCATGTATGGCAAAAATAACAATGTTTAAGAGCAATTAAGAAAATATAATATTGAAAGATTAGTGTATGCCTTCTTCAAAAATCATGAACAGGGCTGGGCACAGTGGCTCACATCTGTAATTCCAGTCCTTTGGGAGGCTGAGGCAGGTGAATCACCTGAGGTGGGGAGTTAAGAGGCCAGCCTGACCAACATGGAGAAACCCCATCTCTCCTAAACAGAATTAGCCGGCTGTGGCGCAGACCTGTAATCCCAGCTGCTCAAGAGGCCGAGGCTGGAGAATTGCTTGAACCGGGGAGGCGGAGGTTGGGGTGAGCAAAGATTGTGCCATTGCCCTCCAGCCTGGGCAACAGGAGAAAAAGTCAGTCTCAAAAAAAAAAAAAAATCACAAACACAAGATTGACTCCTGCTAATCTCCTTCAAGGGGTAGAAATGAAGTTTACCTGTGAAGTTTGACTTAAATGGAAAAGAAGGAAATACTATGAGAATGGAATTGTGTTAGAGAATAGCATTTAGAATTGGAGAATAATGGAAGACTTGAACATCACAGGGCACTAGACCAGGTAATACGTGGATAAGACAAGACGAAAGTGGCAAGCCACCCTCACTTTCCTTCTCAAGAACATCACTCTTAGACCTTTAAAAAGCTGGATTAATTTTGTGTGCTTAGGCATATGTCCAAAATTCAGGGCAGTGCTGATGTTAGGTGTCTATAAGAAACAATCATCTTGAAGAATTAAGAACTTGAGACTGCATGTGCCTGGGTGGAGAACTTACCTTCAGTTGTTGGAGATAAAACCGTCTTATTTAGAAAAAGAAAAATACTGAGGCAAAAGCCATCACCCATGTCTCTGTAGGAAATATGGAACAACAATGAAAACTTAATTAAAATGTGTTCATGTATTTAACATCTTTTTCTTTTTTTTTTTTTTTTTTTTTAAAAAAAGACAGTCTCACTTTGTCAGGCAGGCTGGAGTGCAGTGGTACAGTGGCCCAATCTCCACTCACTCCAACCTCCGCCTCCCTGGTTCAAACAATTCTTCTGCCTCAGCCTCCTGAGTACTTGGAATTACAGGCATGCGCTAATTTTTGTATTTTTAGTAGAGACGGTTTCACCATGTTGGTCAGGCTGTTCTCGAACCCCTGACCTCGTGATCTCCCCACGTTGGCCTTCCAAAATCAGCAACGTTTTTTTTTTTTTTTTTTTTTTTTTTTGAGACGGAGTTTCGCTCTTGTTACCCAGGCTGGAGTGCAATGGCGCGATCTCGGCTCACCGCAACCTCCGCCTCCTGGGTTCAGGCAATTCTCCTGCCTCAGCCTCCTGAATAGCTGGGATTACAGGCACGCGCCACCATGCCCAGCTAATTTTTTGTATTTTTAGTAGAGACGGGGTTTCACCATGTTGACCAGGATGGTCTCGATCTCTTGACCTCGTGATCCACCCGCCTCAGCCTCCCAAAGTGCTGGGATTACAGGCTTGAGCCACCGCGCCCGGCCCAAAATCAGCAACTTTTAATAACTGTTCTATGTACCAGGCACTGTTCTAGGAGCATAGACTAAGTCAGCAGACAAAGATTCCTCTTCCACTGTTTGTGTATGAATGACTGTGCCAGTGACATTCTACTGAGTTTTCCGTAGCACGTTTATCATGTTTTCTCTCTCAGGCTGGTACATCATGAGTATTGGATGTGATTACTGATGATTGTCTGGTTTTGTTCAAATTTATAAGAGAGTTTCATTACAGGAAAATCATCATCATCCTACCTTAAAAAATCCAGACGACGTTCTGCAGTTGGGGCTCGGGGCTCTCCTGAAACAAACCATCTGATTCGTTTCATCGCTCGTCAGCAAAATATGAAGAATTCTAGGAAATCTCCTTTGGCACAAGATTGTCCTTCCCCGGTACGATTTTCTTCTCAGTTCTGTCGGGAATTCTCTTATGAAGCTTCCATGCATTCTTTATACCTCCCCGTGCATCTGATCTGTTTCAGATCTGAAGAGATATTTTCTCTGTGTCTTAGAGAATATGCCGTTAGTGGCCAAGCATGATGACTCACGCCTGTAATCAGAATACTCTGGGAAAATGAGGTGGATGGATTACTTGAGGTTAGGAGTTCCAGACCAGCCTGGGCAACATGGTGAAATCCTGTCTCTATTAAAAACATGAAAATCAGCCAGGCTTGGTGGCAGGTGCCTGTAATCCTAGCTACTCCAGAGGCTGAGGGACGAGAATTGCTTGATCCTGGGAGGCAAAGGTTACACTGAGCTGAGATTGTGCCGCTGCACTCCAGTCTGGGAGACAGAGTGAGATTGTCTCAAAAAAAAAAAAAAAAAAAAAAAAAAGAAAAAGAATATGCAGTTATCATAAATGATGATCTCAACCATAGATGATTTTTCTTTTTTTTTGTTTTAGAGACAGGATCTCAGTTGCCCAGGCTGGAATGCAGTGGTGCTCATAGTTCACTGCAGCAGTGAGCTCCTGGGCTCAATGAATCCTCCCACCTTAGCCTTCCAAGTAGCTGGAACTTTAGGCATGTGCCACTGCAAAGCACTCATTAAAATTTTTTTTTTTTTTTTTTTTTAAGAGATGGGGCCTCACTATGTTACCCAGGCTGGTTTTGAACTCCTGACCTTAAGCAATCCCTATCCAAGTGCCAGGGTTACAAGTGTGTGCCACAGTGCCCAACCCAAACATGGGCATTTTAATAATTATGAGACCCTCAATAGAAACAGCTTTCTAGGGGAGCTTTCTATTTTATTTTGCAATTTTTTTTTTCTAGTTCAGTTCTAATTTTCTATGAGGTGAGATACTACTACCTTTTTAAGTAAGTTTCTAATTTTTTCATGACTACTGTGTGTTGACATATAGGGTTAAGGGTCTCCTGGGAAAAAATGTATTTGGGACAACCTTGTGGAAAGGAGCAGATTATTTATCTGCTGATGGGGATGTATTTAGTATTTTTTCAAATTTTTATTAAAATAGTACATGCCCCTAAAAAGTCAAATACAGTCACGTACTGCATAATGACATTTTGCTCAATGATAGACCGAATATACAATGGTGGTCTCATAAGATTATAATGGAGCTGGAAAATTCCTGTGGCCTGGTGATGTAGCTAACATTACAGTGTGAAGCAACGCTTTACTCGTGTTTGTGGCGATGCTGGTACAGTTTGTTCTGCAGTGCTGCCTGTTGTATAAAAATCTAGCACAAAAAATTATCTACAATACATAATACTTGATAGTGTTAATGAATGACTGTGTTCCTGGTTTATGTATTTTCTCTAGACTTTTTATTATTAATTTAAAGTGGATTCTTTCTACTGATTTTTTTTTTTTTAAAGGACCTTAATGTAGTATATGTGTTGTGTTGGCAGCAGCATCATGCATCTTTCCCTGATCCATTGGGTATCCCATAGAGCAGTGAAGGAGAGGTATTCAGAGTAGATATCAAATCACTCACCCTGCTGCTCAAAACCTTCCTGTGGCTTCCTGCAATTCCTTGAATTAAACCCACGCGCCTTCCTGATGGCACCTTACTCCCACTCTGGTCTTTTCTCCCCATCTCCTTCCACTCACAGGGCATGCTGGCCTTTCTGTCCCATCCTGTCTCCACTTGGGGCCTTGCCTCTTGTTTGCCTTGTTCTTGGAGAATCTCCCTCTCCTGCGACATCTTTCCTTAGACCACCTTCTCATTGTTTTGGTGTCAACTCAGATTTTACTAAAGCTGGAGGACTGTCCTGGTTGTAGCTAAACCAGCACTCCTAGGAACTCGGCCACGTTACGGTTTTATCTTCTCAATATCACCTCTTGTACCTGTAACTACATTTATATGTTTTCACAATTTCACTCTAGACAGTGATTTCCCTGGCTGGTTACAGTGGCTCACTCACTTGTAATCCCAGCACTTTGAGAAGCAAAGGAGGGAGGATTGTTTGAATACAGGAGTTTGAGACTGGCCTGGACAACATGACAAAACTCTGTCTCTACAAAAAAAAATTTTTTCATTAGCTAGGTGTGGTGGCATATGCCTGTAGTCTAAGCTACTTGAGAGGCTGAAGTTTGAGGATCGTTTGAGCCCAAGACATCGAGGCTACAGTGAGCTGTGTTCGTGCCATTGCACTCCAGCCTGGCTGATAGAAAGACCTTGACACAAATAAAAATAATTTTCCCTTGATCCTGAGCTTCTCAAACAGTTTGTGGGGCATGGAAGGAAAGTTGTTGACTGACCAACACAATTGCTAAGACAAAAACATGAAAAAAACAGTACCTTTGGAATGTTTCATTTGCTTCGTATGTAAACATTGTTCTCCTTCTCCAGTAGAAAATAGAGAAAACCCAAGTTTGACTAGAGAAACTTAAAATTTGTTTTCAGCAGCACTTCAAAGTGCTGCATGTTCCTAGGATATTAAACCTGCCCCTACTGTGTTCAAATATGAGTACAAAAGAAGCATGTTCAAAGTAAATTATATGAATTTGAGATCATCTTTTTCCTATCGTTCTTAAAGATGAGTTCACCACAAGCCTTTTATGAATATTATGTGCTGTGTATGTTGTAAAGGCTTATGTCCTCAAGCATGTTTCCGTGTAAAGTGTTCTCTTATTGTATGGTAGACAACTCACTTTATGAGTATATTTCACTGAGAAGAGAATGAAATGTGTGAACAGATTGCCATCAAACATGGCTTCACAACATTAACTGCTTTTTCTGCCTGTGATATCTTTCCTTTTTTTTCCTGAGACCAAGCCTTGCTTTGTTGCCCAGGCTGGAGTGCGGTGGCATGATCTTGGCTCACTGCAACCTTCATCTCCCAGGTTCAGGCGAGTCTCCCACCCTAGCCTCCCGTGTAGCTGGGATTATAGGCATGTTCCACCATACCCGGTTAATTTTTGTATTTTTAGTAGAGACAGGGTTTCACCATGTTGGCCAGGCTGGTCTCAAACTCCTGACCTCAAGTGATCCTCCCACCTCGGCCTCCCAAAGTGCTGGGATTACAAGTGTGAGCCACTGCACCCAGCCTACTCTGTGTGATATCTTAAAGGGAGGTAATATTTACTTCACTTTTGCCCATTGGTATAATTTTTTTAAATTGCCACAAACTTCTTATCAGTGGAAATACTAGTGGTCCAAGTAATTTAAAAAATCTAAATAGAGAACTTCATTTGTAATTTATTTTTTATGTAAAGAGAACTCTTAGTTTTCATATTACTTGCCTTTATCTGGCACTTCTAAATCCCTACTAGTATAAATTTTATTCTATCAGTTTTTGGCTGGATCCCTGTTAACTGGGCTTCCAGAGAAATTGTGTGTTTATGCCATCTAACTTTGTGTTTTAAGAGAATGACTGGCTTTCAGCCCTGAGAAGTAAACATCCTCCAGGTCCTATACAATGAGGAAAATTAGCTGGGAAGAGCCCAAAAAAGAGAGCAGTGCAAGTGTGGTATCTGAGCATGTGTGGAACTTGTGTGTCTTGTTCTGGCCCCTGGGCTGGAGGGCGTCTGTAGACAGGTGCTGAGTAGAAACATCTTGGAGTGAAGGAGGTATGCTGAGACTTACCTGTGACACAGGAACCATGCTGATGGCTTCCTATGGATACATCCAGCACAATACTTGGTAAAAATTGCAAATAAACAGGTTCCTCCTGTCTCTTCTTCCTTGCACCATCTCAGAGCGCAGTGGTTTTTTGGTGCCCTCCATATAATCTTAGGCTGGCCTCTCAACACTTTATGCTGAACTTAACTTTATTCAAACTGAAAATGTGCAATTCCAGGGTGAGGAGGCTCTGCCACACTAACTCCTTACCTCTGATCTTCAGAAAGTGTATGTATACTGTATTTAATTTTGGATTCAATGGGTATAGGCCTAGAATATAGGAAGTATGAATTGAGGCTTGATGCGGTAGCTCATGCCTGTAATCCCAGCACTTTGGGAGGCCGAGGCGGGCGGATCATTTGAGGTCAGGAGTTTGAAACCAGACTGGCCAACATGGTGAAACCCTATCTCTACTAAAAATATAAAAATTAGCTGGGCGTGGTGGCATGTACTGGTAGTCCCAGCTTCTTGGGAGGCTGAGACAGGAGAATCTCTTGAAGCCAGCAGCAGAGGTTGCAGTTAGCCAACATCATGCCACCGCACTCCAGCCTGGCGACAGAGTGAGACTCTGTTTCAAAAAAAAAAAAAAAGAAAAAAATAAGTATGGATTGATTTATAATACCCCTTATATTTTTTGTACTTTCACAGGGCAGCCCTGCGCTGTATCGAAATGTTAACTCTTTAAGAGAAAGAATATCTGCCTTCCAGTCAGCTTTTCACTCCATAAAGGAAAATGAGAAAATGAATAGCTGTCCGGAATTCTCAGAGGCAGGAAGAGTGTCCGAGGTGACAGACTTGAGTGAGTAGAAATGATTCATTCAGTTTTCACTTCTATATTTGTAAAGACAAGCTTCTGAGATTTGAAATGATTTAGTGTGAAACTAATCTTTTCAGAACACAGGTATACTTATAAAACAAGGCTAACGTTGAAAATTTGGGACATTTCACACAAAAATAAGGATTTCTGGTTTCTCTTGGAAAAAAGCCTGATATCAGACCTTCGTAATCCTGCAGTTCCACATGATTGCAATTAAATTTTAAGTTTTTAAATGTCAGAGCAAATTAGCTAATTTCACCTTTACCATAGAGCTTGTGGCAAACTTGAGTTTACAAACCTTGATTTTTTTTTACAGAACCATTATTAAGCTTGGCAAGCATTTAATAAATGAAATAAATTTGTGTAAATTTTATGTGAGTACCAAACACCCAACCCTGATGTTAAATACAAATATATCCAGTCTGCTAATCTGCTATATTCTTTAACTCTTAGATTGTAATAATTCATTTGGTTGTGTTTTCAGTCTTTTTTTTTTTTTTTTCCAATCACAAAGCATTTCAGACACCAGAATGTGACAAAATCTTGGTCTTACTGTAATCATTATAACCATTTCTCTGGTACTTTACATGCTAAGATTTTAAATGATTTTGTTTTGAATTCTTGAACTATCTTCAGGTGCATTTCAACACCACCCATGTGCATTGCTCTGTTAGCCCAAGACAAGTCTCATTCATCTAGAGTGCGTGATCCATTCAGTGTTCCCATTTAGATTTGTACTTTGTGACTCACTTGCTTCAGTTTTTTCCTGAGTTTTTAAATTTATTTACATCATTATAATTCTGCACACAATTTAATTCCTTTTTTTAGCTAGAAAAAACTGAGGCACGTTGTGGTGGCCTTTTTCATGAAGTCATACAGAGTGTTAGAACATAACCACATCTTTTAAAATAACAGGTGTCACTGGGCACAGTGGCTCATGCCCGTAACCCTAGCATGATCATAAGGTGGGCAGATCATGAGGTCAGGAGTTCGAGACCAGCCTGACCAACACGGTGAAACGGTATCTCTACTAAAAATACAAAAATTAGCCCGGGAGTGGTGGCACATGCCTGTAATCCAAGCTACTCAGGAGACTGAGGGAGGAGAATCACTTGAGCCTGGAGGCAGATGTTGCAGTGAGCTGAGATTGCACCACTGTACTCCAGCCTGGGCAGCAGAGCGCAACTGCCTGTCAAATAAATAAAATAATGGTTGTCATCATACATTTAAAATGTGAGGTACTGTATTAGACACGCAAAAGTATTTTAGTATATCTTTGCATGTTTTAAGGTCTGAAAAAACTCAGTTCTAGTAATTAAATTTATTAACTTTTCAATAGGCATGTTTCATTCCTTTCAGTTAGATTTTCTTTTTTTTGGTATAAAAAATTGTGCTAGATTTTTCTTTTCATTGATAATTTTGACTCAAGCAGTAGATTTTACTAGACTTAGGCTCTTAGATTGTAAGAAAATTACAATGATGCACAATGGCCAGGCATGGTGGCTCACGCTTGTAATCCCAGCACTTTGGGAGGTTGAGGTGGGTGGCTCACCTGAGGTCATGAGTTGAAGACCAGCCTGACTAACATTGTGAAACCGCATCTGTACTAAAAAATAAAAAATTAGCTGGGCCTGGTGGTGTGAACCTATAATCTCAGCTACTTGGGAGACTGAGGCAGGAGAATCGCTTAAATCCAGGAGGCGGAGTTTGCAGTCAACTGAGATCACACCATTGCACTCCAGCTTGGGCAACAAGAGCGAAACTCCGTCTGACACACATACACATATATGCGTATGTATATATGTGTGTGTTTGTATGAAAACATTTATGCCTGTGTCATTTTGTTTTTGTTTTGTGTTTATAGCCGTAAAGGCAGGTCTTAGCACATGCCAGCAGTCTGGGTTCCCTGCAGTGTTGGCCTCCAAACGTCGGAGAATATCCTGTCAGAGGGACTCTGATGAAAATCTAAGGGATGCTGAAGGAAAAGCAATTGATCTCCAGATACTCAGTATTGATACAGACAGAGGATGTGCAGTTGAAACTTCTGCAGATCTTTCCGAGGTAATTCACTTAACTTTACACATAGGAAAAGGAAGTTTTGGTTTTCTGCGTAGGCAGTTTTAATGCTGTCAGTGCCGTTCTTCAATTTATTACCTCGTTCTGCCCTGTGGTAGCTGGGTGGGTGGTTGGTTTGTGTGTGTGCGTGTGCGTGTGCGTGTGCGTGTGTGTGTGTGTGTGTGTGTTGGTGTGTTTCCCACCTGTTAATTTTATGGTTACCTCGTTTTGCTCTGTGGTAGCTGGGGTTTTAGCGTGTGTGTGTGTGTGTGTGTGTGTGTGTGTGTGTGTGTGTGTTTCCTACTTGTTAATTTTATGGTTACCTCGTTCTGCTCTGTGGTAGCTGGGGTTTTAGAGAGAGAGAGAGAGAGAGAGAGAGTGTGTGTGTGTGTGTGTGTGTGTGTGTGTGTGTGTTTACTACTTGTTAATTTTATGGTTGGTTGTTGGTATTTATCACTTATTAGAAAGAGTTTGGATAGAGATCTCACTTTTGACTACTAACCTTAGGAAGAGAATAAGCCCTGTGGTCTTCTGTGTGTGAGATATTCTATAGGGTAATGCTCCAAGAAGGGAGGAAGTCACAGTCCTGCCCTGAGGCAGTATTTTTTCTCCTGGAGAGCAGGTTATAAGCAGATGGCTTCATTGGATCAGGTGGAGATTGTATGTGGGGTGTACTCCACAGGTCTGGGAGTCTTGCACTTCTTACTGCCCCTTACTGCTTTCCTACTGACTGGAATTCAGGGTGCCATTCAGCAATTGCTCCTTTGCACTGCTCACTTCTTTCAAGTAGCTCTAGGGATTTTTGTGGCTTATAGCTACCTAAACCCTGTCAAGATGATCAAAAGGTGATATTAGGAGAAAAACAATGCTAGTGAAGATCAGGTGACCTTCACGCACCTGTGAACGGGGAGCTGGTCTTTCATGATGGACTTTTCCTGCTTCTCATTCCTCGTTCTGGTTTGACACAGTAGCTTCTCATGTCCTTTGTGAGAGGAGACACCTAACACCATTACAGTTGGAACTCTTTCTGTACCTTCTCTGTCGCCCAGATCCAGTGCTTGTCCTATTCATTGGATGTGGGCTGGCAAAATAAAGGTTTGACAGTTGTTAGAGATTCTTCAGGCTCCAGTGGGTTTCCTTTGTATCTCAGTCACCTGTAGTCTTGGCTCCCTCTGCCTTATTCAGGTTAATGTGAAATCCCTATCTGACAGAAACAATAGTAATTTTTTGTAAGCGAACTTTGGTTAATTGTTTGAACATACATCATGATTCAGACATTATTTCTGAATTAATGTGAATGTGTTTTTTATCTTAGCCTTCAATGTTTTTCATATCTTAGTTATTGATAATGTTTATATAAACTTGTCTTTATTTTGAGAATTTTCTCCAAAGAACTGTAGATACAACTATCTAGGCTTTAGCAACAAAAATAGGTCCTTTAAACGTTCCCTGGGGAATTAAAAGTTTATTTGTGGGATGTTTAGGATGCAATTAGTATGAATACTTCATTGTTAGATTCCTGTATACTTTGAGTTTATGAGATAATGAAGGTGACTGACTGAATACCAAATTTCCAGGTAATCTATAATGTTTACTCAAGTCTTCAAAAAGGCATTAGTAGTACTGTAAGTAATAAAATGTAATACTCTTTCAATGTTTCCTCAAGAAATCATCTAAACTTGGTTCAACACAGTCTGGATTTTTCGTGGAAGACTCTCTTCCCCTTTCAGAGCTCCCAGAGATTTCAAATGGTAAGTATTTAACTTTGTCTTAGTACACAGCCAGTTGCCTGATTCATAGACATTTATGATTAATGTACCTATTCGCTAAAATTTAGGGGAACTGAAAAGTATCCCCTAAAAGCCCCTACTTTTTAGGGGCTCATGGCCCACTAGAAATGCTTCTGAATTCTTGTAATATGAGGGATGTTCTCTTTTTTAAGCTACCATCACTAAGAGTTAGTGAAGTATTTCCAAGCTCATGAAATTTAGTATAAAGAGGTAGGACCTATGAATATATTAACAAGTATTCTTTGTTAGAGAAACACTACTCATAGTATTTTTTTTTCGTTTTTACGCATGTAAAAAGAGTTTTATCAGGATGTAATAATTACTTATTCCTTCTTAAAATCAGTATCCTTGGCCGGGCGCCGTGGCTCAAGCCTGTAATCCCAGCACTGTGGGAGGCCGAGGCGGGTGGATCACGAGGTCAAGAGATCGAGACCATTCTGGTCAACATGGTGAAACCCCGTCTCTACTAAAAATATAAAAAATTAGCTGGGCATGGTGGCGCATGCCTGTAATCCCAGCGACTCAGGAGGCTGGGACAGGAGAATTGCCTGAACCCAGGAGGCGGAGGTTGCGGTGAGCCAAGATCGCGCCGTTGCACTCCAGCCTGGGCAACAAGAGCGAAACTCCGTCTCAAAAAAAAAAAAAAATTCAGTATCCTTGTACTAAGTGAACGTTACTAGCAAGGGTTTAGATTGACTTTTATTCTGTTTGGGTCTTCAAAGTAAAACTCTTATGGGCATATAATTGGATCTTGTGTTTTTTAAAATCCATTTTGATAATTTAATTGGAATATTTAGCCTGTTAACTTTTCAAGTAATTACTTACATGGTTTTATTCACTTCTGTCATTTTATAGTATGTTTTCTATTCCTAATTATTGCTCTGTAACCTTTCATAGTCTGTTGAGATAATACTGTACAATTTCACACAGAAGCTTTGCAAACTCTGCAGATGAATTTCCTCTCCCTGCCAGCCATGGCTTTTATGATCCTTTACAGATACACAGTTACTTCATTATAAGTCCCACAAGATCTTATCATTTTTGCATTAAGCAGTTATATGGGCTTTTCGCTTTTTCCTTTTCTTTAGGCAGTTTCTTACTCTGTCACCCAGGCTGGAGTGCAGTGGCATGATCTCGGCTCACTGCAACCTCCCACTTACAGGTTCAAACGGTTCTCATGTCTCAGTCTCCTGAGTAGCTGGGATTACAGGTGTGCAGGACTATGCCCAGCCAGTTTTTGTGTTTTTAGTAGAAATGGGGTTTTGCCATGTTGGCCAGGCTGGTCTTGAACTCCTGGCCTTAAGCAATGTGCCCTCTTTGGCCTCCCAAAGGGCTGGGATTACAGGTGTGAGCTACCACACCCAACCAAAACAGTTATATGTGCTTTAAACAGGTTAAGAGGAGAAAGAGTCTTTTGTATTTACCCAGACATACCATTTCTTATGTTCTTCATTTTTTCCTAAAGATCTGAGTTTCTCTGTCTTATTTTCCTTCACCCTGAGAAAGAACTTCTTCAGCATTTTTTGTAGTGAGCATCTGCTCTGACTTTTAATTTTAATCATAAGATAAATAGGTGGATGTCAGCCTGTATGGTCCTGCTGCACAGGGCCAGGTTGTGAGTTTGTTACCACGATGGAGTAAGGTGCTCTTGCCTTCAGCACTTTCTTAACAATTCTTTTTCCTTTGCTCTTATGGGACTTTGCTTAGGAGTGACAGATTCTCTCTGACAGTGATTATAGATTGAAGTGTGATGATTAACAGTTGTCATCATACCAAACACCTCACTCTACAATGTGAGGCATTGAAATCACAAGGGTCAGAATTTCATTTCAGCATGCCACGAAGCCCTACTCAGAAATACTGTAATAAGACAGGAAAAATAGATCTACCATAGTAAATGGGGCCTTGATTAAAGGAGGCTGGCATTGATTTCTGTATTTTAAACTGTGTGGTTATTTGGTGGCATTCTCAGCAGTGCAACTTTGGGAAGAAAAAAAAGATGTAAGATGGAATCGAATGTCCCTTGTTAAGAGGGAGCTTGGGAAGGACACCTGCATGATACCTTCCATCTCTCCTTTACCCCCTCTGCTTCCTCTGTTTTACCTTTCTAGCCAGAAATCCAACTCAGTGAATGTCTCTACCCTCTCTGCACCTGCCCCAGAGCTGCTCATATTTGGTATGCTGATAGCCTCAGTTTTTCACCTCAAATGACTCTGTGCTGGTTCTTTTTCGTTTTTGTTTTTTTGAGACAGAGTCTCACCGAGTTGCCCAGGCTGGAGTGCAATGGTGTGATCTCAACTCACTGCAATCTCCGCTTTTTGGGTTCAAGCCATTCTCCTGCCTCAGCTTCCCGAGTAGCTGGGATTACAGGCACCCGCCATCATGCCCGGCTAATTTTTGTATTTTTGTATAGTTGGGGTTTCACCATGTTGGCCAGGCTGATCTTGAGTTACTGACCTCAGGTGATCTGTCTGCCTTGGCCTCCCAAAGTGCTAGGATTACAAGCGTGAGCCACCACTCTCGGCCCATCTGTGTTGTTTCTTAATCAATTCACACACTTTCACACCTTATTTTTCCCTTAAAGTAGCCAGCACTCCTTCCTTTTCTTTTTAAAATTTAGATATGTATAATTTACGTTTTAAACAAATTATTTTATAGTGTATGTGTCATGTAATTTTATTTGGTTAAATTTATTACTATTTTTGAATGATAAACTATAACTATACATTTATGGAGAACAATATGATGTTTTGATGTATTTATACAATGTGGCATGATTAAATCAGGCTCATAATTAACATGTCCCTCACTTCACTTACCTGTCATTTTTTTTATGGTCAGACATTTGAAATTTACTGTCTTCATTATTTTGAAATACATAATATACTAATATTGCCTATAGACCCTCTTTATGCAATAGATCTCAAAACCAATTCTGCTTGTCTATCTGAAACCTTGTATTTCTTGATCAACAGCTCCCCATTTCCTTCCTTCTACCCCCTCCCCCCTTCCCCCCGCAGCAGGCTCTGGGAACCCCTCTTCAACTCTTTCCTTCTATAAATTCAACCTTGTTAGATTCCTCATGTATGTGAGATCACATGGTTTTTGTCTTTTGTTCCTGGCTTATTTCACTTAGCAAAATCTCTTCCAGATTCATCCATGTTGTTGCAAACGAGAGTCTGCCCGCTTTTAAGGTAGAATAGTATTCTGCTGTGTGTATATGCCATGTTTTTTTTATACATTCACCCATTAATGGACACTTTTCATTGATGAGAATGATGTTAGCAACAGGTTTGTTATATATGTCCTTTATTGTGTTGAAGAACTTTTTATTACTAGTCTGAGGATTTTTATCATGATACTGTGTTAAATTTAGTCAAATGCTTTTTCTGCATCTGTTGAGGTGATCATACGGTTTTTGTTTTTCTTTTTTTTTTTTTTTTTAAGAGTGTTTATTAAAATAGGCAGTAATCAGTACATGTGCATCATATAAGCAGTTATTCAAAATTAGCACTTCCAGGAGAGGGGCTACATCTCAGTTTTCCTGTCTATATAATAAAATGTCAAAAGTACTTCCCTAAAGTACACAGGCATTTCCCTAGTAGTCTTGGTACCAGTAACAGAGTATAATTACTAAACATCTCCAACGTGGTTTTCATTACAAAGAAACATGTTTCACATAAAAGCTTCATAATATAATCCAGAGACAGAATTTGTGCATGCTTAAAATTTGAAGCCAGGCTATTTCTGATATATTTTTTCATTTCTTCCAGTTTTTTATTTTTATAAATATGCACCCAGTTTCCCACCAATGTAAATCACACGAAACACTGCTGAGAGCAACACGATTGCCTTATAATAGGTTCTTTGAGACTACTATCGTAATGCAAGGAGGGGAGTACTAATTTCTATTCTGGCTTGCTCCTTTCCCAAAATCATGATAGTGTTGACCAGATCCTAGCAGTTGTCAGATACAAACAAACTGGACAGAGGGCCATAGCATAATTAATGAATAATTTCACAATGATCTGGTTAAGAAAACGCACAGAAAATGGTGATCATATAATTTTTTATTTTTCATCTTATTTATGTCATGTATCACATTGATTTGCATGCATTGAATCATCCTTGCATCCCAGGAATGAATCTAATTTGATCATGGTGAATGATTCTTTTAATGTGTTCCTGAGTTAGGTTTGCTAATATTTTGTGGAGGATTTTTGCATCTTTGTTCACCAGGGATATTGGTGTATAATTTTCTTACAGTTTTCTTATATGGAACACGGTAGTGCTAACCTTGTTAAATGACAAGGAAGTAGTTGGAAGTATTTTCTCTACTTTGTTTTTTTTGGAAGTGTTTGAGAAAACTTACTAGTTCTTTAAATGTCTGGTGGAAGTCAGCAATAAAGCCATCTGGTCCAGGGCTTTTCTTTGGTGGGAGACTTTTTATTACTAGTTCAATCTTCTTCTTCTTCTTTTTCTTAAATAAAAAATAGAGATGGGGCATTACCATGTTGGCCAGGCTAGTCTCGAACTCCTGACCTCAGGTGATCCACCCACCTTGGCCTCCCAAAATGCTAGGATTACAGGCATGAGCCACCACGCCTGGCCTAATTCAGTCTTCTTCTTACTCATTATTGGTCTTTCGAGATTTTCTATTTGTTCATGATCCATTTCTTTTAGATTATCCAATTTTGGGTGTTTAATTATTCATAGTAGTTTCTTGTGAGCCTTTGTATTTTGGAGTCAGGTTCTCTGGTAATGCTAGTTTGCTTCCTGTGCTGTGAAGTCAAATGATCTTGCCAGCTGTACTCTGTGGTCTAGTAAGATCACTGGCTGGACTCTGCCTTCAGGTGGAGCTGCTCTCTGGCTCTGTGATGGTCTCTGATTTGGCAGAGTTGCAGGTTGCCTTCCTTGGCCGGTCAGTACTATTGTTTGGAATCTAGTTGGGGAGAACCACGTGATGGGCTCTGAGACTCCTTGAGATTGTTGCTTGGCCACATAGGGTAGACAGGGCCTGAGGCTGTACTCCACAGATGTGTGTAGATTTAGGCTTGCCTCCCAGCTTAGGGTAGGGTTAAGCAGAGCACTGAGGTTTGGTCGAGTCACTGCTCTGCAGCTGGGGTTGGGCAGGAACAGATGCTCCTTCCGCAGGTGATCACCCACACAACCTGGTTTGGAGAAGACTTAGTGATAGCACAAAGGCTTAGTTTAATCACCTTTCCACTGCTAGGATTCAGTAGGCCCAGATGTACCTTTCATGGGCAATTGCTGACCTACAGTTGCTCCCCCATGGGGAGGACTTAATGCAAGCACCAGAACGTGTTGTTGGCTCACATCTTTACAGCGAGAGGGCCAGATGTTTCCTCTGTGGGCAATCGCTGACCTGCAGTTTCCTCTCGACCTGGGGAAGACCAAATGGAAGCACCTAGGCTGCGTAGGGAAGCTGGATAGGGATTTTAACTTGGAAGACCCACTAACCATGTTTCCTGCAGCTTAATACTGCTGGCTGGTTTCTCTGGTGTGGCACTTCCATTAGCTGGAATGCAGCCCACCAGAATTTGCTCTTTGGTGGCTACAGTCCCCATCCCATGTACTTTGTTTTTATCTGACCCTGTTTGGGACACATATAGTGCGTTTGCAGTTGGGTGTGATGATGTGATGATCTTTTTCTTATTCCTGCCACCCTCAGATGTTGACATGCCTGTGAATTTAGCCATAAAGTTACTTGTTAGTCAGTGCTCAGCTCAAATTAGCTTTTATGGTCCAAGTAATAAGTGCCGTCAGCAGAGGCATGCTAATACTTTATAGCTGATTCATGATACCTTCTTTCAACCTCTGACTCGGTGATTTCCTGGGGAGCCAAATCCCCATACTCACTTTATGCTTCATAGTCAGATTTGAGGTAAAAACTGACCAGTGCTGCTGCTTTACCTCCATTTTGCTTTCCAAATGAAATCCCAGATGTTACTCTTTAAGCGGATTATATTAAGTTTGAATTTTTCATAGCACATTATTATCTTTGCAAATAGATAAAGTGGTTTTGGTCTAGAACAAACACATTTAAGAGATCTTCCACCTCTGAAGTTTCCATGTTTATCTCGAAGCACTCAAGGTTGCTGACTGCGTAGTGGGCAAAGGATCAAACAATGCCGTTTCGCCTGACACGTTCACAGCAGAAGTGAGCTCAGACGCAATCCCTGATGTCAGGGCACCAGCTACTCCAGTGTGCAGGAAGGACCTTCCCTCCCATGACACCTTTATACTTCGTTCTGTTCTGAAGAAACCCTCTGTTCCGATGTGTCTAGAGAGCTTACAGGTAAGAAGAGAGTTAAATTTCCTAAAGCAAATGAATAAAAATGCGTTTTGGTTCAAAGTAATACCCCTGAAATGTCATATCATACTGGTTTAAAAGGAAATGTCTTACTATAAATTTTTTTCCTCATCTTATTGACAACACTATGTGTAGTTTCTTTTTGTTCTTGTTTTTTTTAAATTAAGTGTAGTATATAGTATGCAGAATTTAATATAAGTCGACTGTAGTTTATAAAGGGTCATAATCTTACTGCACTAACATAATTGTATCTTGATTAATTTTATAAAATTATATGTGATACTAATTAATCATAATTAATGTGTCAATCTGTTAAACTGATCATTCCACCCAAAATATTTGGTCTTAAAACTATCTCTTGGCCGGGCTTATTGACTCAACGCCTGTAATCCCAGCATTTGGGGAGGCTGAGGTGGGTGGATCACAAGGTCAGGAGTTTGAGACCAGCTTGGCCAGCATGATGAAACCCCATTTCTACTAAAAATATGAAAAATTAGCTGGGCATGGTGGCACACCTGTAATCGCAGCTACTGGGGTGTCTGAGTCAGAAGCATTGCTTGAACCCGGGAGGCAGAGGTTGCAGTGAGCCAAGATCGCACCACTGCACTCCAGCCTGGGTGACAGAGTGAGGCTCCCTGTCAAAAAAAAGAAAAGTACCTCCTAGAGCCATCCCGTCCTTTTTACTCTAAGCTCAGTGAGTATGAGGAAAGACGAAGCTGATGAGAACTAGCTGGCATTTATTGAGTCATTTTTACAGTTCTGACATACACACAGCAGCAGTGTTCCGAGAAAGGTATAGGACCTGTTTGACATACGCTTAGGCTTGTAGGTTGTTCAGTGAACACAGACAAGTCTGCTATTAAAATTCATGACAGGTTCTCAGTCCATGAGAGGCTGCGAGTCTAGCCTCGGTTGTGAAAATGCCAAGTTTCAGATCCTGACTTGGAAATGTAATCACTGAGCAAGTTATTTGACCTTTCTCTGCCTGGTTTCCTTATATATAAAAGTGTTAAGTTAGTAACTACTTTTAGTGTAAGTTGAGCATTAAATGGAATGGTATAAAATCACCAAGACTGTCTGGCACTTCAGAAATACAAATCTTTTTTTTTTTTTTTTTTTTCTCGAGACGAAGTTTCACTCTTGTTGCCCAGGCTAGAGTGCAATGGCATGATCTCGGCTCACCGCAACCTCTGCCTCCTGGGTTCAAGCAATTCTCCTCACTCAGTCTCCTGAGTAGCTGGGATTATAGGCATGCGCCACCACACTCGGCTAATTTTTTATTTTTAGTAGAGATGAGATTTCTTTATATTGGTCAAGGTGGTCTCGAACTCGTGACCTTGTGATTCGCCCGCATCGGCCTCCCAAAGTGCTGGGATTACAGACATGAACCATTGCGCACAGCCCTTTTTTTTTTTTCAAACCATAAGCATTTTAACACACACGTATGCCTGCAAGTCTGTTCTGAAGCCAAAAGGAACTAAATTACCTTCTATTTACATGGATGATTGATGGTCAATTGCTATTTGAAAAACATTAATAACTTTTAATAAAAATTATTATACTTTAAGTTCTGGGATACATGTGGAGATCATGCCAGATTGTTACATAGGTATACACATGCCATGGTGCTTTGCTGCATCCATCCCCCCATCATCTACATTAGGTATTTCTCCTAATGTTATTCCTTCCCAATCCCCCCATCATCTGCTGTCCCTCCCCTAGTCCCCCCACCCCCCAACAGGCCCCAGTGTGTGATATTCCCCTCCCTGTGTCCATGTGTTCTCATCGTTCAACACACACTTACGAGTGAGAACATGCAGTGTTTGGTTTTCTGTTCCTGTGTCAGTTTGCTGAGAATGATGGTTTCCAGCTTCATACATGTCCCTGCAAAGGACATGAACTCATCCTTTTTTATGGCTGCATAGTATTCCATGATATATATTTACCACATTTTCTTTATCTAGTCTATCATTGATGGGCATTTGGGTTGGTTCCAAGTCTTTGCTATTGTAAACAGTGCTGAAATAAACATGCATGTGCATGTATCTTTATAATAGAATGATTTATAATCCTTTGGCTATATACTCAGTAATGAGATTGCTGGATCAAATGGTATTTCTTTTTCTAGATCCTTGACGAATCACCACACTGTCTTCCACAATGGTTGAGCTAATTTACACGCCCAGCAACCACTGTAAAAGTGTTCCCATTTCTCTACATCCTCTCCATCATCTATTGTCTCCAGACTTTTTAATGATCGCCATTCTAACTGGCTTGAGATGGTATCTCAATCTAGTTTTGATTTGCATTTCTCTAATGACCAGTGATGATGAGCATTTTTCCTTATGTTTGTTGGCTGCATAAATGTCTTCTTTTGAAAAGTATCTGTTCATATCCTTTGCCCACTTTTTGATAGATTTGTTTTTTTTCTTGTAAATTTGTTTAAGTTCTTTGTAGTTTCTGGATATTAGCGTTTGTCAGATGGGTAGATTGCAAAAATTTTTTCCCATTCTGTTGGTTGCCAGTTCACTGTAATGATAATTTTTTTGCTCTGCAGAAGCTCTTAAGTTTAATTAGGTTCCATTTGTCTATTTTGGCTTTTGTTGCCATTGCTTTTGGTGTCTTAGTCATGAAGTCCTTGCTTATGCCTATGTCCTGAATGGTTTTGCCTATGTTTTCTTCTAGGGTTTTTATGGTGTTAGGTCTTATGTTTAGATCTTTAATCCATCTGGAGTTAATTTTTATATAAGGTGTAAGGAAGTGGTCCAGTTTCAGCTTTCTGCACATGGCTAGCCAGTTTTTCCAACACCATTTATTAAATAGGGAATCCTTTCCCTGTTGCTTGTTTTTGTCAGGTTTGTCAAAGATCAGGTGGCTGTAGACGTGTGGCATTGCTTCCGAGGCCTCTGTTCTGTTCCATTGGTCTATATCTCTGTTGTGGTACCAGTACCATGCTGTTTGGATTACTGTAGGCTTGTAGTATAATTTGAAGTCAGGTAGCATGATGCTTCCAGCTTTGTTCCTTTTGCTTAGGATTGTCTTGGCTATGTGGGCTCTTTTGGTTCCATATGAAGTTTAAGGTGGTTTTTTTCCAGTTCTATGAAGAGAGTCATTGGTAGCTTGATGGGGATAGCATTGAATCTGTAAATTACTTTGAGCAGTATGGCCATTTTCATGATACTGATTCTTCCTAACCATGAGCATGGAATGTTTTTCCATCTGTTTGTGTCCTCTCTTATTTTCTTGAGCAGTGGTTGGTAGTTGTCCTTGAATAGGTCCTTTACATCCTTTGTTAGTTGTATTCCTAGGTATTTTATTCTCTTTGTAGCACTTGTAAATGGGAATTTCTCATGATTTGGCTCTCTGTCTGTTATTGGTGTATAGGAATGCTGGTGATTTTTGCATACTGATTTTGTATCCTGAAACTGCTGAAGTTGCTTATCAGTTTCAGGAGATTTTGGGCTGAGACTATGGGATCTTCTAAATATACAGTCATGTCATCTGCAAATAAAGATGATTTGACTTCCCCTTTTCCTAATTGAATACCCTTTATTTCTTTTTCTTGCCCGATTGCTCTGTCCAGAACATCCAATACTATGTGGAATAGGAGTGGTGAGAGAGGGCACCCTTGTCTAGTGCTGGTTTTCAAAGGGAATGCTTCCAGTTTTTGCCCATCCAGTATATTGGCCTGGGTTTGTCATAAATAGCTTTTATTATTTTGAGATACACTCCATCTATACCTAGTTTATTGAGAGTTTTTAGCATAAAGGGCTGTTGAATTTTGTTGAAGGCCTTCTTTGCATCTATTGAGATAATCATGTAGTTTTTGTTATTGGTTCTGTTTATGTGATGGGTTACGTTTATAGATTTGCATATGTTGAACCAGCCTTACATCCCTGGGATGAAGCCGACTTGATTGTGATGGATAAGCTTTTTGATGTGTTGTTGGATTTGGTTTGCCAGTATTTTATTGAAGATTTTGCGTCAGTGTTCATCCTGGATATTGGCCTGAAATTTTCTTTTTTAGTTGTGTCTCTGCCAGGTTTTGGTATCAGGATAATGTTGGTCTCCTAAAATGAGTTAGTGAGGATTTCCGCTTTTTGTATTGTTTGGAATAGTTTCAGAAGGAATGGCACTGGCTCCTCCTTGTACATCTAGTAGTATTCAGCTGTGAACCCGTCTGGTCCTGGACTTGTTTTGGTTGGTAGGCTATTAATTGCTGCCTCAACTTCAGACCTTGTTATTTATTCAGGAATTCAACTTCTTCCTGGTTTAGTCTTGGGAGGGGGTGTATGTGTCCAAGAATTTATCCAATTCTTCTAGATTTACTGGTTTATGTTCATAGAGGTGTTTGTAGTAATCTCTCATCAGATTTTGTAGTTTGTATTTCTGTGGAATCGGTGGTGATATACCCTTTATCTTTTTTTTACTGCATCTCTTTGATTCTTCTCTTTTCTTTTTTATTAATCTGGCTAGCCATCTATCTATTTTGTTGATCCTTTCAAAAAACCAGCTTCTGGATTCATTGATTTTTTTTTTTTTTTTTTTTGAAGGTTTTTTTGTGTCTCTGTCTCCTTCAGTTCTGCTCTGATCTTGGTTATTTTTGGTCTTCTGCTAGCTTTTGAATTTGTTTGATCTTGTTCCTCTAGTTCTTTCAATTGTGATGATAGGGTGTTGATTTTAGATCTTTCCTTGTTTCTCATGTGGGCATTTGGTGCCGTAGATTTCCCTTTAGACACTGCTTTAAATGTGTCCCAGAGATTCTGGTATGTTATATCTTTATTCTTATTGATTTCTAAGAACATCCTTATTTCTGCCTTCATTTCATTATTTATCCAGTTTTCATTCAGGAGTAGGTTATTCAGTTTCCCTGTAGTTGTGTGCTTTTCAGCGAGTTTCTTTTTTTTTTTGGGACGGAGTTTTGCTCTTGTTACCCAGGCTGGAGTGCAATGGCGGGATCTCGGCTCACCGCAGCCTCCGCCTCC